CTTTATAGCGTATTTTCTGAAGGGTATTAAGTTATCGCGAGGTTTAATTAGGTGCTTTATGTTCTCTTGAAACATAATCGAAAATACAATGATCAAAGTGTCACCCCTTACGCAGAGACAGGGGGGCATATGCTTCTCTCATGGAAGTACACTGGAATATAGCAGTAACCTGTGCTATACTGATTCAAAACCTGGTCGTACTGAAGTCTCTCTTTATCAGCTTTGGGAGAAAATTCTTGAAGTGTTCTGCCTTGTACTGCAGAATTCCATTCCTGTTGCTACTATGAGGCGATGGTTATATAAGGTATTTATCCCGCCTTCGTGGTGTAGCGGTCAACACGCTTGACGTCTATGGGAGAGGTCCGTGGTTCGAATCCCGGCGGCATATTTCACAAGTGCACATCTGCATTGCTACTGATGGAGGGGTTTCGAAAATGAACCAATGAGCTGCTATTGCTCTTGTGACGCTAAATCTTCGTGCATGTGAGCATATGTTGTTTACGTTTTAATTTGCATTTGTTTCGCAGTTATAAATATATGGCGTAATAATAGAAAACATCGTAGTGCTTTCGTTTTTTGAGTTTGATTAATCGCTGACATTTCACTTTCGCGATTCTTATCACGCATTAATATTGGGAATGATGTTCACGGCATATTATGCTCTTTACATCGAGAAAAACTCAAAGCTACAATTGGCCTCGAGTATTAGATGTACTAACACCTGTGGATTAAGGGAATTCAAGTGAGTAATTTTTTAATGAGCTGAAAGTGGAAGTTACAATGAATCTAGTGTTTTATTTCAGTGCTTGCATTCTTTTGATTTTAAAGTGTAAGATTTAGAGTACATATGATCTGATTATATCCATTGTTAACATTAAACATTATATGTGACTAAATTGAATATGCTCGTTGTGAATACGATAAATTCACTCTATTTGATGAGTATTTCTTGTGTAGACAGTACATCTAAGAGTGAGGAGTTATTAAATGCGAAATTTTACACACTAAATATATACGAATGCAAATTAGTAAAGTTCACTTTGAATAAAATTCTGCATTGGTTATTGTTATACAACATCTTTTTCATATAGACACAATAAAAAGTGCTGACTTCTATTTACATATATAATTGGTGTAAATATATTTCTTATACGCATAGTTTTATGTAAAGATTGCATTTGGGCTCCGATGTTTATCACATATTTCTTTCTTCATATTATTTACCACTTATTAAGAAATATTTCACATCGATATTTTTGCGAAGTATCCAACATATGTTTGTATTTATTTCAACCAGGTAGTGAAATCTTCATAATTTCCTATAATTGATTTAACTTCGCAATGAAAATTTTCAGAAGCAATCGACGATGCTTTAATTATTTTGTACAGAAAATTGCGTGGCAGAATATTTTCAATCATCTTGCTTAAATCTTAAAGCACGCGAAAGGTCGTGTGACATGACAGAAATATTACTGGATGCTCATTGGTCCATCCTAGAAGCCACTCCCTCGGTAGTTACACAGATGTGCGCTTGTGAAATATGCATCCCGGCGAAGGCAGTGCTCATTTTCCATCTCTCCTGCTTTTAAAAAATACCTCATGTCTCTACAGTTGATTATATTAACCGTAGTTGAAACCGTTAAAGATGAAATAAAAGAAAAATCACAGCAGAATTGTTTCTGTGAAGACAGATAATGTGTACAATATCCTTAGATAAGTTAGTTTTCGTGTAGGAAAAGAAAGCTGAGTTTCAAGAAAAATATAATCAGCAGATAATCGATGAGATCAATTAAACTCAAAGTGTTGGGTAAGGCCAGGAACAGACAAAAATTGTATTATGATAAAAGATGGAGAAAAGTAGATAGAGTCGAAGGGAAGACGTTAAAAGTAAATCCCAAGCTATCAATATTTGGGAGGAAAATGAAACGAGTAAATTTAATCCCAGGTTTTGAGGTTTCGTATGTCGTGGAGAATATTGTCGCGTAGATGAGGGGATCCTACATATGAACAGGCAAGTACAAGTCTAAACTCAAGACTTTTTATTAACTCAAACTGAATGAAGAGCTACTTATATACACTGAAGTGACAAAAGTCATGGGATACCTCCTAATATTTTGTCGGTCCTCCTTTTGCCCGGCGAAGTGCAGCAACTCGACGTGGCACGGACTCAACAAGTCGTTGGAAGTCCCCTGCAGGAATATTGATCCATGATGCCTCTATAGATATATATGCCATAATTGTGAAAGTGTTGACGTTGCAGGGTTTTGGGTACGAACTGACCTCTCGATGATGTCCCATAAATGTTCGATGGGATTCATGTCGGGAGATCTAGGTGGCCAGATCATTCGCTGGAATTGTCCAGAATGTTCTTCTAACCACAATCGCGAACAATTGTGGCCCGGTGATATGGCGCATTGTCATCCATAAAAATCCCATCGTTGTTTGAGTACGTGAAGTCCATAAATGGCTGTAAGTGATCTCCAAGTAGCTGAAGGTATCCATTTCCAGTCAATGATCGGTTCAGTTGCACCAGAGGACCGAGTCCATGCCATGTAAAAACAGCCCAGGCCATTATGGAACCACCACCAGCTTGAACAGTGCCTTGTTAACAACTTGGGTCTATGGCTTCGTGGGGTCTACGCCACACTCAAACCCTACCATCAGCTCTTACCAACTGAAATCGTAACTCATCTGACCAAGCCACGGTTTTCCATTCTTTTAGGGACCAACCGATATGCTCACGAGCCCACGAGAGTCGCTGCAGGCAATGTCGTGCTGTCAGTAAAGGCACTCGAGTTGGTCTTCTGCTGGCATATCCCAAGAAGACAAATTTCGCCGCACTGTCCTATCGGACACGTCCGTCGTACGTCCCACATTGATTTCTGCGGTTATTTGACGCAGTGTTACTTGTCTGTGAACATTGACAACTCTACGCAGACGTCGTTGGTCTCGGTCGTTCAGTGCACGTGGTCAGCCACTGCGCTGTCCATGGTGGGATGTTATGCCTGAAATTAGATACTCTCGGCACACTCTTGACACTGTGGATTTCGGGATGTTTAATTCCCTAACGGTATCCGAAATGGAATGACCCATGCGTCTAGCTCCAACTACCATTCCGCGTTCAAAGTCTGTTAATTCTCGTCGTGCGGCCATAATCACGTCAAAGCCTCTTCACATGAACAACTTGAACACAAATGAAAGCCCTGCCAAAGCACTATACATTTTCTACGCGATACTATTGCCATCTGTATATTTGCATATTGCTATCCCATGACTTTTGTCACTTCAGTGTACAGCTGGTGAACATGCTGAAACACTGGAAGAATAAGAAGGAAATTTACATAAATAAGATAGCATTAACAAGAAGGAAATTTACATAAAAACCAATTATCATGCATCTTGCCGTTGATGGGTTTCGAACCCGGGACCTTTGGGTTTCGAGTCCTGCGCCTTCTCCGCTAAGCTATGAGAAGCTCGCTCGAAAAGAACAATTTTCGCTACAATATCAAATGTACTGTAGTATTTTTACCAAACAATATGGGGGGGGGCAAGTTCCAAGAATGTGAATCATGTCAAGAAATTTTATCATTGAGGTGATATGCTCGTTTTAAGAGAACTGAGAAGTTAGGCAGAGGTGATAGGCAATGTTACGATATTTTACGAATACGTAGTGATAAGGTGATGGTGATAAGCAATGCTACGATAGTGGCAGTGGTGATAGGCAATGTTACGATATTTTAAGAATTCAATACAAAGGAATTTAATAATGAGTTGGTTAGAATGTAAGAAAGAGAAAGATGTGCAGAAAGGAAGAGATGAAGAAATTTCAGAGATAGAGTTAAGGAAAACGAGAAGAAATAATAAGTTAAAAATGAGAATCAGATGTCCAGAACACTGGGAAAGCGGCAAAAAAGTAGTGCGGCAGGAATAAGATACGATAAAATACATTTAGATGCATTAATGTAAAAGCATTCACGCACAGTCATTAATGTAAAAGCATTCACGCACAGTCATTAATGTAAAAGCATTCACGCACAGTCATTAATGTAAAAGCATTCACGCACTTGTATATGTATATATACATAAATATATAAATTGCGCAGATCGTCTCTTACTTTTTAAACTTTGTTTTAGGAGTCTTTTAAGAAAGCTTTGTCTACTGTCTATTGAGTTTTATATATATATTATTAAATTCATTTTATTAAAACACACAAAATTAATATAAGCTTATTTAGCTTATCAGGTTCAATGTTCCGTCTTACTTTCTTTGGGAACATGCACAGACCTGACTCGGAACAGGGAGCTTACTAAAGCTATGTTCAATAAATGTGGTAAGTAGACAAGATACACAGGAAAGGTATACGAAACCCTTTATTTTTCACTCTTTACAATAATTTCCGTACTTCGGAATACAGAGACCAACTACTTGTGGTCTGAACGTAAGAATATAAAAATATTTAACTAAACTCTAACTTAACTTTGGAATAATAAACAAGGGCCTACGTGGAAGATTGGCCTTATATTAACAGGAAGCCGTATGTAGTACAGAGAACTGTTAACACTACAATACGTTTAAAAATTATCACGAGGATTAAACCTCTGGCCTGGAAGGCAAACAGCAACTGAGTAAAACTGCGTAAGGTAAGCGGCCTGCTTCGACAAACTCCTTCCTCTGTCTCGCTTGGTAAAAAGCCACAACTTAAGTACTTGGCGTTCGCCAGACAAATTTGCATAAATAAGTTAAAGCTTTTAATTCTGGCCGGAAGTAGAAAATAAGAAGTGATAGTAAAGATTTAAAATAAAAATAAACGTTGGTAAAACTTAAGATCCTTACAAGCTAAACCGATCCAATATCCACAAAGTATTTTTTTCATGCAAATTACAAAAATTATTATATAAATACAACATAACTTATAATCACTCATAAATCCATAGACTGTCGTCAGTGGACATAATTTATACATCGAAAGTTCAAAATTTCCATGAAGAGATTTTCTTACCTCTAATGTAGAAATAAGACCAGGTTTAAAATCTGACAAACTTCGCTTAAATGAGAAAACAAATGGGGATTTGGAAAAAAGAATAGAATTGATAGCTTTCTCTTTATTTCCAGTTACTTCATCTGTAACAGTTGCTTCAACAACAAAACGAGATCCTTCTATTTCTGGAAACCAACCGATATCTTTACGTTTCTTAATTTGATTTGTATTTAATCTCAAAATATGGGAACCTTTTTCCAGCTGTAATAAGAATAAATATTTATTATAAAAAGGCTTTTGATTGCTATTACGAATGTTAAGGGAAAAAATTACAAATTGTATATAAAATTAATATTTATTACTAATTCTCCAAACACACTTTCACGCCTTATCAAATATAAACAGTCTTTGAAACTTAGCCACATTTTTAAAGAACAAAGTACAAAATGAAATATCAGTAATTCATTTAGAAAAAGTTTAAATTTTGATAATTGTTACAAATGTTAAATAAAAAATATATTTTAAAATTCAAATTCCATATTCTGTAAAACATACATCACTAATTAAAAAAAAAAAAAATTTTTTTTCAAAACTTGAATTTCATAAGTAAAACTAATACCACAGCTTTTTAAACAATAGCTTTCTTAATATTTTCTCAGTAACTTAAAAACTATAAAAGCATTTTTCAAGTATAATAACACCTTTTTCTCATTATGTTGTGTTATGTTAATAAATTAAGTTACATAAGTAACTTAGTTTATTAACATAATAATTTTAAAAAATTATTTCTGTTTTCAAACGCAGTTGAATACAATATTCCAAAATTATTCACAGTTGTTTTAATGAAATAAATTATTACCACAACATAATTATTTTAACAAATCGCATTTAAATTACTATTTAGCTAGACGGTGTGTGTGGTGTATTTAATTATGGCAAAGCACACGAGGGCTATCTGCCTAATGGGAGGGATGCCTTTCGTGGAGGACTTTCTAAGGGAAACTGGCTCGTATACACGTTACACATGGGGAAAACCACGAAAACGCCCATGCAGCCAGCCCGTTCGCGGGATTCGAACCTCGGACCGAACTACCAGTGTTCAGCGACTTTACCGCTCGGCCGCTGGTGGGCTCATTTAGCTAGATGTAAAATGGTTTCGTGACACTTAGAAGAAGTCCCTTAAGTACGCTTGGTGAACTCAGAAAAATATATATTGAATAATCGATTTTGATGCCTGTGAAATTATATTTATCATTTAGTCTGAAGTTTAGATACCAGTTCAGTTGCATTATAACTTATGTAATTTTCCTAAAAACTGATATTCTAAGAACTCTTCATTTGAATAAATCGATACTTAAGGGAAGAAATCTCCGCTTGTTTTCACTGCAGATAATATTAAATACTCGTGCTCCGGACAAATATGGCTACTTAGTTTTTTAACTGCAGAAAACAAGCCTGTAATAATCAATGTTGTGGTTTGACTAACAGTTAGATTTGCGTTAAGATTTATCTTATCTTTCTTATATCATATCACAATATTCGATCAGATTGGACAGGTATACAAATTTAATCTAAAATATTCATTTTGTATGGCTACATTACAGCTAAAGCCTTCGCGCATGAGACTTGGTTTAAAAATAGTAGTTGTACAACATTAACTGCTGCCCATTGGAACATTTGCCACATCGCCGATGTGCTTCACCTATAACTAGTTCAACCTGAATCAGAGAAAGACTAAAGCTTTGATAGTAACTGTGCTGTTGGTTAGCGGTTTAAAGATTTAGCTGTAACGTAGGTGAATATTTAAAATTAGAATGTTGTTAGTTATTTACATTATAGCTAAGGCAAGCATCCTTGTCTTATTACAATTTTAATTCGACAAAACATTGCTTTAGTTTCCATTAATTTTTACTTGTAAAACACCAGACTTAAGAATATAAATAGGACTTTGAATTTGATATGTGTTTACCATTAAATAGTTGTTCAAAACAACAATTCACCAATACGTCAAGATAGCAGTGCTAGTTATTAAGCTGAATATCCACTTTAAGTTGAATCACACACCAGGAGTTAAATGTTAGCACCCACCTTGACCATCAATTTTGAACCATTTTTTTTTACTTACTTATATTTCTGTAACAATGCAATAAATCATTAACTGAGTTGTTCCAGTCTACGATGATGCAATTTAATATTTCAGCTTGTTTTTGCACTGTTTGTACTTTTGCTATGGATGTTGACTATATTGAAAATGTTTGACATTGACACTAGGTAAGCACGAGTGTATAAAATATGAGTGCCCGACTCACATATAAATTACCAAAATTTTGAAGGGATATATTAAGATTATAAATTGATAGACAGTTAACTAAAATATACAATTAAAAGTAAAATATCTATTAGAAAAACTTTGAAATATATATTGAAATCTAAGGTCTGTTCCCTTATAATTAAGATGGCTATTGAGAACATATATTTCAAACTATTTGTCAATAAATCCTCTTACCTCAGCATCTAATAAACCAAATATGACTGCTTCAGGAATTTCACCTTGGACCGCTAAACGAAATTTCACTGAACCTTTAACTTTTTCTCCATGTACATACCTGAAATTTCATATAAAAAAAGGTCTGTTTTCAAGCAGATTTAAACTGCACTAATGGAAAATGGAATTCGAACACCAAGAAAGATTTGTGCTGGGTAAACAGAATTTGGGAGACGTGTTTGGCACACCTGAAATATGATGTCTATTCAAATTTCGCTCTAGGCGACTAAAGTTGGCGCTAATAGCGCCATTATGAACATGCAAATTATTTTGCTTTTAATACGCAAAGTGAACTTCCTGTGTTTTATTTATCTTCCGGACTGAGCATTGTGAGCTGGAGTTTAATCAAGAATGACTTTAAGCAAACGAAGACGGCAGTATCAGCAATTTACTGAGTTTGAACGAGGCCGTGTATTATGGTTATGAGAAGATATATTCCCTTTTCGATCCATTACAGAAACACTTGGCAGGGATGTATCTACTGTGCATGCGTGGTGGTACTAGTGGTCATGGGAAGGTACTGTCTCAAGAAGGCCGGGGTACTGCCGCACTGTTGCCACCATTCAAAAGGAAGATCGCCATCATCTTAGCATGTCTGTGGCACATCGCACTGCAGACTTTTGAACTTTTGTTGGTACCAAAATGGCACAGCAAACAAATCAATTACTTGAGGGAAAACTCCGAGCAAGACGCTCTCCAACCGTCATGTCACTGACTCCAAATCATTGCCAACTTCTATGGTGTCACACTAGAGCTCACTGGAGTGTGTTGTCAAGTGAGAGCCATTTGTATCTTTTATGCCAGTGATGATTGTATGTTGGTTAAAAGAAGGCTAACTGAGAGCTTGGAACCAAGCTGTTTGCGCCGTATATATATTACATTTACACCAGAAGCTGAAATCGGTCGTTATCCCACACTCCTTGAAAGCGAATTTCCCCGTCAGACTAGTGATTGCACTGGTTGTGACGCCATTCTCGAGCAGTGATCCATGGAGCATTTTCTAAATGGATAAAGCTCGTCGCCACATATACCCCAGTTATATACTATATTACTTTATAGAGTGTCGACTTGTTGTCTTGGCCTGCGAGATCACCCGCTCTTTCTCCCATCGAATACGCATAGGATATGACTGAACCACAAATCCATCGTCATCCGCAACCAGCACTCACCGTTGCTAATTTGACTGACGAAGTGAAGCAGACATTTAACTTCACACAAAAAATGACACACGGCACCTGTGGAACACAATGCATGCCTGTCTGCATGTTTGCATTCAACAACATGGTGTCTATAACGGTTATTAATCTACCACCATTTCACATTTGAAATGGTTCTTCTCACGCATACTTTAACCCGTTAATTTAAAACATTAATCGAATAAATATGTTACTTGGACAAATAGTTTGCCTGTATTTCGTTTCTCTAAATTTCTTCTTGGTGCTAGAGATTTCACTTCCCATCAATGTATTACATGAATTTGTTAAATAAAAGTGAAATTGATTGAAGCTTATTATAAAGATCCCTTGCATTCTACAGAAAATGAATGTTACAAGGATTAGGTTTTAGAACAAATGTGAAATTAATATACTCTTATCCGTTGGGGACTTGATGCACTGATCGCTGCAAATGAACTTTGGTATAACGAACATTGGCCGTATGTCATTTTACTGTGCTTTACATGCATATGTAAATTGAAGCCTGGATTTTTTTCCGTACCTTTCTGTTTGGACATACAGCACCTTCAATGACTTTATGAATGATGGCGATGGGGCTGAAAGTGTTTCAGGATTAATTAGAGGGGGAGAGAGGTAGCGTGAGGCTCTGGACACCGATCATGAAAGAAAAATATTATGCACAGGTCCAACCTAATCCTGGGAGAGAATTCGACAGACTGCATTTCTCAGTCCAATCAACATGCCCCTCATAAAATCGTCTGTCTGCTTGAACTGCCTCCGCTGACGACGGCCTGGAACTGCTTGCTATTACACGCGTCCTCTGAGACAAAAAAAAATTTCCTACGATGATTTCCCTAGTAGAAATAACGGTACGAATATTGAACTTAATGCAGGTTCCTTTCCTTATATATCCTTCAACGTGCGCTGGAACCCTGAAATTTGCCTAACTTTCGAACCACTCCTTCTTGGTGCTGCATTTTCATTGTCAGGTAGTGTAACAAAGGCAGCCATTTGCTGTATGTCTGGAGCCAATTTAACTCGCGTCTTGATATAACTGGCTACACAATATATTAAGTTTTGCAAATGTTTAAGATCATGTTAGAAATATTAATAAGCGCTGATTATTTCAAGATTCTTGTGTTATTAACTTCAACTTATCCTTCTATGAATATATAAATCTTCGTTAGCGATGGGATGCAAAAGCGATCTCAAGGACTGCATATTCTGCTTGAGCTACCAACTGGCCATCACTGATATATATTTCCTTCTTCTGATAAATCCCAAAGCATTAACAACGTGAGCCATTACTTTTTAATTTTTGTTTGTCTATACACATTCCATTGAGCTACTAATTCACAAACATTAGAATAGAAAAACATTTAATGTATCATATCTTTTCAATGTAAACCAATGTTTGTCAAGCAAAGAGGTACTTATCTTCTGAAGCAGCCTTGGCGAAAGTAAAGGGTATTGGCTCAGTTTCGGCTTAAGAAAATGCGATTGGTTGGAAAATATTATAAGCTTGCACGAAAACGAAACTGATTACAATAAGCGGCAATTTATTCAATATCTACTTAACGCAAGTTACTTTATTAGATAAAGTGAGAAGGAATTTATTATAAATTTGTTTTTATTCATTATAGTATTTTGTACAATTTTGTCAACAGTTTATTTAAAATAACAACATAATTCAACAGAACTTATTTAATATACTCTACATTAACTCTCGTATTTAATATAATTATACACTCTATAATTTAAAAAGCGACACACCAAGAAGGACTTATCTGAATGGGACGAAACTGCGTATACTCCTAAACTTACGACGGACTATACAAATTATTAACATTTGGCGGCCAATGACTGACTAGCTAGAGCTCCAGAGCATTTTATAGGTATAGGTAAAAGAACGTGGGACAACAGCGATGTACCATAGGTCAACTGGTAATGCCTTCCCATACTTACTCTTTAGAAAAATGGGGAAATTGCAAGTTCTATAAGAATTCACATAGTCTGAAGCTTTCCAAATGGTCTACAGTTTGGCTATTATGATACATCGTGCAACCCCACCGTACGCCCCGCATCCAGTATTTGTTAAAAATAATGACGTAGGACATAAGTAGATTACAAAATATTCTGAATAAAATTTGAAATTCGCAAATTAAATTGAACATCTGTTTTGGTGCAACAAAAATAAGAGATAAACATAATTAGTAAACAGATAAACATAATGAGATAATTATAATTAGTACTAGCAACACAATGTTATAATGAATTGTAATAATAATGCTGAAGAGGTGGGTGTCCGTGGGTCATTTCAGATATAAAGGTTTATTGCAGTTTATAAAATGCACGAGTGGAGTAATTTTGTCCATAATCACAGCATGTAAATGTTCACTAAATTTATGCAGTATGTGGACTTGACAGAGATCTAGGCCGTAGGAAGAGAGTCGTTGCATAATTTTTTGAAACTTTGGATATTGATATTTATCTTTAATTACAAAGCTCTGGAATGCCAGGAGATCAGTTCGTGGGCATTTTATGTGAATATCCTCAGGTAAAGAGCATGAAAAAGTGTAATGATCAGGAGTTTCCTGTTCCCCACGTATGCAGATATCAAAGTTCGCCATATTTCTTGCGTAGAAATATGTGGGGAAAAGTCCGTGTCCTGTTATATAGTAATTGAATGAAGAATTCGAGTACAGAGATGTGAAGCTTACATTGGGGATCAAGTTATATGTGCATCTTCCCTGTGGAGCATTGTTCCACATATCTTGCCAAGACTTTGAAGCAAGTTGCTTTAGTTGGTACTTAAAATTTGAGCGAGGCCACGGAATGATGATTTCTGTACCATCTTGATTAATAGCTGCTTCTTTGGCTAATTCATCTGCCTGATCATTACCAAAATGGCCACTGTGTGCTTTGATCTATGAAATTGTGTTTTTTAGTTTGAAATTTTGCCAAGAAGAGAATTTATGTCGGATATCAATGGAGAGGAAGGCAAGGGAATCTTAATCGCTAGAATAACTGCTTGGGAGACAGATTTTACGCTACATTCGTGGAGATTTTTGAGAATAGCCATTTCAATCGCTGCTTTTATGGCTGACAATTCCGCTTGAAAAACACTATTATTATGGAGATGGCCTTTCCATTTGATGATATTTTGATAATTTGAAAATAGACCGCGGAACCAACGTTTCCTTCAATTTTTTGGTCCATCAATATAAGAAACTGGAGATGCAGACATGGGGAATTTTATTTTGCTGATGCAAAGCGCTGGATAAATACGATTCGCGTTAATTTTCTTTTCATAGTCGGATGGCCGAAAGGTTTGGTTGTTAAATTCTGCGGCTTGGTTAACTTGAAGGACTTTCATATAGGCGCTTTCCATTTCTGCACTGACTGATAGTGGTAGAGTACCAGCTAAGGTATCAAGTACTATATTTGAAGTTGTGCGATACGCCCGAGTAATGCGAAGAGTAAAAGGCCTTTGAATTGAGTTGAATTATTTAATCTTTCTCCTTGCCATTGGTTGTGCCCAAATTCCGGCTCCTTAATTTACCATTTTTGATATGACTGTTTTTAGAAGAATCCGTGGTATATGGTGATTTAAGCCCCAGTTATATCCATTAATATCGTTGTAGGCAGTTAGCTATTGATGTTATACGAATTTTAATATTTTGTAGATGAGGAATCCAGGAGAATTTCTTGTCGATTGTTAAACCGAGGTGCTTGATTGTATTCACAGATTTGATCTTTTGATTTCAATTTTTAGAGCTAAAGCTTTAGTTATATTTTGCCGTGATTTATGGATGACAAAGACTTGGGGCTTAGTATGTGAAATTAGCAGTTTTTGAATTTTGCAAAGTTTAAATATATGAAGTGT